GAACCAAAGGATAGAAGTGATGCAAAAAATTTATATGACGTGCTTGGCAACTTTGAGTTCATACTTGGTATGGTTATTTGGCATGACATTTTATACTCTGTAAATATTGTCAGTAAGAAGTTGCAATCACCATCCATGTGCGTTGATTCTACCCTCGCAAAGATATAGAAGGTATGATGAATTACTTTCGTAACTACGTAATCTTGGGTTTGGCGATAGTGTGGTTGCTGCCACAGAAATAGCACTTGAAATGGGAGTAGAGGCATCATTTTCAGTAAAGCGTCGTTCAGTTAGGAAGAAACAATTTGATGAAACTGAATGCAATGAAGCTATCTTGCAAGCTGAGAAGGATTTTGAAACTTTTTATTTTTTGGTTATGGTTGATATGGCAATGAGTTCATTGAAAAGCAGATTTAAAGAACTACAGTCATTCAATGAAAAATTCGGATTTCTAATGAATTCAACATCCTTGAAGGCGATGGATGGTGCCGATATAAAAGACCATTGCATTAAATTTGCAAAAACTTTCTCTTCAGATGGTTCATCTGATGTTGATGTAAATGACATGATTTCTGAGTTAGCTGTTATGCAGTCTACTCTGCCAGATAAGCCAATGTCTGCTATGGAGATTTTTGAGTTTGTCAGAGAAGCGGATTGTTATCCTAATATTTCTATTGCTTATCGGATCCTATTCACTATGCCTGTGACTGTGGCCTCAGCTGAAAGAACATTTTCAAAGCTGAAATTATTGAAGAATTATTTGAGGTCTGTAATGTCCCAAGAAAGATTAAATGGTTTGGCAACTTTATGCATCGAGAAGAAATTATTAGATGAAATTGATATTGAGGCCATCATCAATGACTTTGCAGCAGCAAATGTTAGAAGAAATTTTTAAGGTAATATAAGATGTATAACTTTTTTATTGTTTCATAAGAATTTTTTTATACATTACACTTATTAAAATTATCATTATATTATTAGACTTATATTAAGGGGCCCATCGCCTGTGACTTCGCTCCAGGTCTATAATTTGACAGGGCCGGGCCTGGAGCTGAGATGCTGTTGGGTAGGATGGTTGAGCAGGGACTCGCCCCGAACACAAACACATACACTACACTGATCGATGGGCACTGCAGAGGGGGCAGCTTCGATCGTGCCTTTGAGCTGATGAACAAGATGAAGCTGGAAGGTTTCCTGCCCAACATTTACACATATAATGCCATTATTGGGGGATTTTGCAAGAAGGGAAAGATTCAAAAGGCTTACAAGGTGCTGCGAATGGCCACTAGTCGGGCTGCATCCTGATAAGGTGACATACACTATGCTGATAACTGAACATTGCAAACAGGGCCACATAGCTTATGCTCTGGATTTGTTCAACCAGATGGCAGAGAACAGTTGCCATCCTGATATAGACACATATACCACCATCATTGCTATGTATTGTCAGCAGAGGCAAATGGAACAAAGTCAGCAGCTCTTTGACAAATGTCTTTCTGTAGGATTAGTGCCAACTAAGCAAACTTATACCTCGATGATTGCAGGATACTGTAGAGTTGGCAAATCGACCTCAGCTCTCAAGGTCTTTGAGAGGATGGTTCAACATGGATGCCTTCCTGACTCTATAACATAGTTGTTAAGGCGTCGCTATACCGACGCCATATCGTCGCCATATCGCCGTGGCGTTTTTCTGGCTCTCGCCACGGCGACGCCACGGCTCCGGCGTGTATGGCGTCCGCCATAGCGCCGTGGCGTCCCCGTGGCGCCGATTTGGCGTCTTGTGGCGCCTTTGTGCGCTATGGCGGGCGCAATAGACGGTGAGGGTGAGGGTGAGGCCGTGAGGGTACCTGTATAGGCCGAGTGGCCGATTGGAGCCCTCCGAGACCGAGCCCGAGACACAACCGTAAGCAGCCCTCCGAGCCGCCGCCGCCGTCGGCCGCCGGGACGGTCGCCCTCCGCCCGCCCCCGTGCTCGCGACCAGCTAGCCGTCGCCGTGGAAGAACACCGCGAGCCCGCCGTCGGTGGAGGGTTCCTGCGCTGCACCGCCGTGGCCGCCCCTGCGCGCCACGGATCCGCGCTGCTCGGGGAGGGAGAAGAGGCAGCTGAGCCAGATCTGGCCTCGCCGCCGCCGGATCTGGCCTCCACACGCGCCGATGCCACCGGTCAGAGAGGGAGAAGAGGGAGCTGGCTCCGGTCGGAGGGGCGCGGTCAGGTGGGAGAGAGGGAGGGTGCGGGGGAGGGAGAGGGGCGCGGTCCTGTGCGCCGTCGCTGGGGGAGAGGGGGAGTCGCTCGGGGAGAGGGGGAGAGGGAGTCGTGCTCGGGCGCAGTCGCTCGGAGGAGAGGGAGTCGCGCTTGGGCGCCGTCGCTCTGGAGAGCGGAGTGAGGAGAGGAGAGAGAGTGGAGTCTCTAGGGTTTCTGATTTCGTTTATATATTGGTGATGGTAGTGGGCTGGTGTGGGCTAGCGGGTTGGGACTGATTTACCGAGGCGGTTGAGTTAGGATGCATGGGACGACTTTTGAGAGATGAAAGATTTGGAAGTTTGAGAGATGAGAGAGTTCTATGTCTTTTGTGCTACATTTACATTGCTATTTTGATTTGCTAATATTGTAGACTATACCTTTTAAGCTACATTTGCATTACCATTTGTCAATATAATTTTCTAATATCCTAGACTATAATGTATGTATTCGCCACGCCGATGTGTGTATGGCGTCGCCACGCCGCGCGCCATAGACGCTGTAAAGGTGTGAAGGTGGTGGGTCGCCGCGCCTCGCCACGCCGCCGTAAAAACTATGCTCTATAACTTATGGGGCACTAATAAGTGGGTTATGCAAGGAATCGAGACTAGAGGAAGCAAGGGCATTATTTGAGACCGTGCTTGATAAGCTTTTGGTGCCATGCGATGTAACTTGTGTCACTTTAGCTTATGAATACTGCAAGAGGGATAAGACAACCATTGCTGTATCATTCTTGGATAGACAGGACAAACGGCAACAGGCTCATACAGCAGATGCACTAATTAGAAAGCTCAGGGGTAATTTGGATGCTGCTAGTCTTTTCCTTAAAAATGTTGTGGACAAGCATTATGCTGTTGACCAGAAGGGCGGGCCTGGTGCAAGCGGTAGAGTCTTACCGCCTGTGACCGGAAGGTCCCGGGTTCGAGTCGCGGTCTCCTCGCATTGCACAGGCGAGGGTAAGGCTTGCCACTGACACCCTTCCCCAGACACAGCACAGAGCGGGAGCTCTATGCACTGGGTACACCCTCATGCAACTTATACAAGCTTCATCAATTCATGCTATGAAAGCAATAGATATGCTCTAGCTTCTGAAATATCTGAAAAGATCTCAAAGCGGATTTCTGGCTTTAAGAAAAAGGATGTTGCAGTTATTGCTTGATTTGCAAGAGCAATCCGAATTTCTCCCACTCATGCAGCATAGAAATTTGACAGTAGCGCTCGATGTTCCTGTTTAGCACAGCTTCTATGCCTATCAATGGCTGTAAATGGTATGCCTTTCTTATTTGGTGCCATGAACTATAATATAAAGTTTTTTCAGTATTACTTTGTCTATTATTTTGCTCTTGCATTCTCGATGATCTTATAAAATACCCATGTCAAGGTTAAGATGACCAGATATTGATCAATGGATTGGATAAGAGCTGCTTGGGGATTTGTATGGGGTCTGCTTTTGCATAAACCATGTGAATAGAAAGAAAGTAAGTTGTTCATATGGGCACATAAATTGTGATATCCTCAGGATCATAGTAGTATTTCAGTTGAGCCTTATTTTAATTTGTTTGATGCAACTCTTGTGAATCTTTATGTTTCTACAGGGTAACAGGTCTTTCTTAAATACTCTGAAGATATCAATGTTATATGACCTGCATCCTGTATGATGGAGTTAAGGTTAGTTTACCCATGGTACCTTGTTCTGAAATATGTATTTGATATTACAATAATTGAAACTTTGCACACACAGATGCTTCTTATCTGTGTTCTACTCCCTCGGTCCCAGAAAAGATGCAATTCTAGGTCTGGTTAAGTCGAGGGCCTATCTTAACTTTGACAAGTTCATAGAAAATAGTATGAACATTGGTGATTTCAAAAGGGTATGTGTTATGACCGGCATCCAGTACTCCAGGCGAAGGCCCAGCAGTGGCTAGAGGATGCCGGCGGGTTAGGGGGCTCAAGGCCCATATTTATCATATTTTACATAATATTAGAGTTATTTTCTATTATTATTCAGAGACATATAAATACCTGTAAACTCTATTGAGGAAATTAAGCAGAAACAATTATTGTTTCCGGCTTCCTCAGGGAGCCGGGAGAAACCCTAGCCGCCTTCTCTCTTCTGTGAACAGTACCGCGGCACTGTAGCGCCTGTACTGTAGCGCCGCCACCCTCTCCCTTCGCGAGATCACGGCGCCCCGCCGTGGTCCATCGCGGTTTAAGCCTCGACCCCCGATCACCCACCGCTACAACCTACGCTCGGTCAGAGGAGGAACCTCGGTTCCTATCAGTATGTACTATGAAAATATATTCAATGATGAATTTAATGATACTATCTTTGTATTTAAATTTAGTCAAACTTAAGAAGGTTTGACTGGACACTATTCTAGAATTGCATCCTTTCTGGGATGGAGGTAGTACTTTCTGACTTAACTGTTGTTATTTGAACCTCGTTGATGGTGTCAGTCTTTAGTAGTCCTAACTCCTAAGTCGATTCTTCATCCCAAGTTAGACAAATCCCTGTGATTGCTGGTATTTCAGCGAACCGTTGCTGTCTACACAAATACAGTGATTATTGATTGTGGGATTTCTCCATTTGCTGATTCTTAATTGAAGATGTCTTATGTTTTAGCTCTTTTTATGGGTCCTTATTGAATATGTTTGATTCTAAGCTCCACATGTTTATTTTCTGAAACCTCCATATGATCATCATTTGTTTCTTGTATTTTATACTTACATACTAACTTAGTCGAAAGGAAAGTTACTGTATGATGTCAATCTGGACAAGGTTCCATTCCACTGGTCCTGCCATACTTACTACCGCGTGGATCGATGGTCTGTGCAAACGAGGCTATGTCAAGCAGGCGTTCCATGTGCTGGAGGAGATGGTTGCGAAAGGGTTGAAGCCGAATGTGTACATGCATACGTCGCTCATCGATGGGCTGTGTAAGATTGGGTGGATGGAGCGGGCATTCCGGCTGTTCTTGAAGCTTGTTAAGAGTAGCTCGTACAAGCCGAACGTGCAAACGTACACTGTGATGATTGGTGGGTACTGCAAAGAGGGGAAGATTGCTCGAGCTGAGATGCTGTTGGGTAGGATGGTTGAGCAGGGACTCGCCCCGAACACAAACACATACACTACACTGATCGATGGGCACTGCAGAGGGGGCAGCTTCGATCGTGCCTTTGAGCTGATGAACAAGATGAAGCTGGAAGGTTTCCTGCCCAACATTTACACATATAATGCCATTATTGGGGGATTTTGCAAGAAGGGAAAGATTCAAAAGGCTTACAAGGTGCTGCGAATGGCCACTAGTCGGGCTGCATCCTGATAAGGTGACATACACTATGCTGATAACTGAACATTGCAAACAGGGCCACATAGCTTATGCTCTGGATTTGTTCAACCAGATGGCAGAGAACAGTTGCCATCCTGATATAGACACATATACCACCATCATTGCTATGTATTGTCAGCAGAGGCAAATGGAACAAAGTCAGCAGCTCTTTGACAAATGTCTTTCCGTAGGATTAGTGCCAACTAAGCAAACTTATACCTCGATGATTGCAGGATACTGTAGAGTTGGCAAATCGACCTCAGCTCTCAAGGTCTTTGAGAGGATGGTTCAACATGGATGCCTTCCTGACTCTATAACTTATGGGGCACTAATAAGTGGGTTATGCAAGGAATCAAGACTAGAGGAAGCAAGGGCATTATTTGAGACCGTGCTTGATAAGCATTTGGTGCCATGCGATGTAACTTGTGTCACTTTAGCTTATGAATACTGCAAGAGGGATAAGACAACCATTGCTGTATCATTCTTGGTTAGACTGGACAAACGGCAACAGGCTCATACAGCAGATGCACTAATTAGAAAGCTCAGGGGTAATTTGGATGCTGCTAGTCTTTTCCTTAAAAATGTTCTGGACAAGCATTATGCTGTTGACCAGAAGGACGGGCCTGGTGCAAGCGGTAGAGTCTTACCGCCTGTGACCGGAAGGTTCCGGGTTCGAGTCGCGGTCTCCTCACATTGCACAGGCGAGGGTAAGGCTTGCCACTGACACCCTTCCCCAGAGCCCGGGGCCCCTGGGGCCTCGGGGATTCTTGCGATCTGCTGCTGCGATTAGGCCGGCCTCGAGGACCTCCTACTTCCCTGGGCGACCCTTCTTCTTTCTCTTGGGGATGCTGGGGGCCGAGGCCTCGGGGGCCTCGTCCCTCTGCTTCCCCTTGGTGTCATCGTTGGGGAAGATGGCCCCGACAGCCTCTTCGCCCGAGGCGAAGTCGGTGGCGATGTCGAGGAGTGCGGCCGCTGTGGTTGGTACGTTCCAGCCCAGCTCTCGGACCAGGTCTCGGCAGGAGGTGCCGGAGAGGAATGCTTGGATGATTTCCGAGTCACCGACGCGGGGCAACTCGGTGCACTTCTTGGAGAAGCGCCGGATGAAGTCTCGGAGAGACTTGTCCGGCTTCTGGCAACAACCTTTGAGCTCTCAGGAGTTCCCAGGGCGCACGTAGGTGCCCTGAAAATTCCCGACGAAGACCCTCACCAAGTCGTGCCAGTCGTGGATCTGTGAGGGAGGGAGGTGTTCGAGCCAGGCTCGCGCTGAGTCTGACAGAAACAAGGGGAGGTTGCGGATGATGAGCAGGTCATCGTCCGCACCACCTAGCTGACAAGCCAGGCGGTAATCGGCCAGCCATAGCTCAGGGTTGGTCTCGCCGCTGTACTTCGTGAGGTTGGCAGGTTGCCGAAACCGGGCTGGGAAGTGAGCGTTGCGGATGGCTCTACTGAAGACCCGAGGGCCAGGTGGCTCAGGAGAAGGACAGCGGTCCTCCTCACTGTCGTAGTGTCCGCCTCGGTGCGGATGATAGCCCCGGGCGGGTCCGTCGTCGTCGTGGCGCCGTCGCCTGCCAACCACTTCGTGGTCGCCTTGTGCCTCTTTTTGTAAATCTAGTCATACTTTGAATTGTTTGACTCTTTAGAAAATGTGATTTTCATTCTTTTTAGGGCGGAGGTGCTAACATACGTAGCAACATAAGGATGCACATATATAATTAGCCCATAAAAGTCTTGTTTTGTTTTTCAGAGGAGAGCTCATTCACCATAGTTAAGTTACGAAGGCAAAGGGCACGAGGAGCGATATGCTGCTCATATCTTGATGGTGAGCTTGGCCCTCCCTTTTTACTTTCACTAGAGAATTCCCGCCGAGGGCAACCTCACTGTCGAATCTGAGTTCAGCATTTTGGCAAACATACTCATTTCCCCTCCACCTTCTGTGGGCACTGACCACCCTGAGCTTACCTAAACTCAGTGCATCATGAACTAGTGAGGGGTTCATTCAACATGCGTCGAGGCCTTGTCCACCATGCACCCGTGCGGTGGACTATTGACTCGGCAGAGAACAATCGCCACCCATGTTGCCACATGGCATGGCGCCCTGCCCGACATGTGTTCAGACTAGGACAGCCCAAGAACTGACCCTGTGGCCAATATCCGGCCCATCTTAGCTTAGTTTCGGCCCAGTCAATTTGACTATTGAGTGTTGACCAATCAGCATCAATTTTCCTCAAAAAAAAAAAACAATCGTTGATCATGCCCTACCTGTCAGTGCATGTGTGACCGAGAGCACATGGCGCTCCTTGGCTCCACCACATGTAGCTCTCTAAAAAATCAGCCCCTTACTAACATTCTGAGAATAGGAAAATGGCTTTTACTCTCTGAAAAATTAATTCAAATAAAATCCAAAAAAAATATTCTTCTTGTACTATTTTTTTTTTCCTAAAATGAGCTCTACTTGTTGGAGATATGTATGAATGCATTTGGGTCTTTTAATGTTAAGCCATTCATTTTATGTGTTTTATAGTGGGTCGTTTAGTCCGATTATGGCCCCCTTTAGCTGGGCTTTCCAACCTGCTTGTTTTTGCAAAAGCCAAAAGCCAACCAAAGTGGTGAAAAGCAACAGTTGCTTTAGGCCAAAAGCTGCTTACAAAACTCAAAGCAGCTTCCCCTACTTTCAGCTGCTTTTGGGCTAAAAAATTACTCACCTGCCACCGATAATGAGATAGCGGTTCGTTTTTTTTGTTCTATTCCCGTCCGCGCCACGATGAAATGAGGGCCGCAACAGCGTATCTCCAAGCAGCCGCTCCACTCTGGCCGTCGCGCCCCCAGTGCCGGCCCTAGGGGTAGGCCACGAGGTGCGATGGCCGAGGGCCCAAGTGGAGGAGGGGCCCGAACCGAGGTATACAGACCCTTAGGTCCTATAGTCTATTAGGCATTAGCAAACTAATAAGAAGAGAGACATAGAACTGATCATGTGGCTCAAAAAGACAACAATGGCATTTCTTTGCTAGTTTCATTTCCCCACGACCCTCGGGTAGAGAGGAGGTGAGAAGTCACGCTGCACATAGCACACTCTGATCGTGAGTTCGCGACGTGCGCCTTACACACGCGGAGCTGGCGAGCCGTGTCGCCACGAAGAGCTAGACTACCGGAGACACGGACACGGCGCACGAGGACGGCAACCAGGCAAGGCTCCACGACGACGACATCTTGATTCTTGGCTTCTTACGAATTGCGATCACCTATCAGTTGTTTAGGCCCAAGGTATTTTTTTTTCTTTTTATTTTTAATCCAAATTAATTATTTGTATAGTATTCTAGACTTCTAGTACTCTGTACCTATATAGTCATATTTTTCTTCTAATTTAGGTGTTATAATTTTAGAATGTTATCTAAGAAACATTTGTCATGGCTGAGAAAAGAAAACGAATATATTGTTTTTTAATCTACATTGTTTCTCGATAATTATCATACATTTACAAATATATTGCTTAATCTACATTGTTCCTCGATAATTATCAGACATATTAAATTAAAAATATATTATTGAATTTGCTTTCGTTTTGCAAGTAAAATTAACACCTATATATTATAAGATTTTATACATCGTCAAGAGGGGCCGACAAGATCGCCAGAGGACCTTAAAATTCTAGGCACTGCACGCCCCCCTGGTCGGTATACTCTACGATGCGAATCTCCAACGCCGGCCGCCACGGAGCTCCATCGCCGGCTCAGCGCTCCTCTGTTGGGCACCACACGAATCTCCATCGTCGGACAACGTGAATCTCCATCGCTAGCGCGGAGCTTCCTTGTGGATCTGGGTGAGCGAACGCGGCCTCCTTGCCGAAGTGCCACCGTGGGTGAGCCCGGACTCTCCTTGCCGTAGCTGGGGAAGATGAGGTGGAGCAGGCGGCCTCTCCACTCCATGGCCGTCGGGACCTTCCCTCCTCCATGGCCGGCTGCAAGAGGAGGTTCTATTGCAACTGGTATCACAATTGGTAGTGATACGTGGACGTTGTTGCCATGAAACTGTTGTGTTGTGTTAGTACACTCTGTTGTAACAGGAAGGTATTATGGCCACGGTTGAAAAGGTGGTTGCAAGTACATGTAAATACTGCAGCAAATTGTGCTGCCTTGTGTTAATAGTGAGTTTGCATTGCGCTAGCAGGTTTTGTTGCCACCATTCTGAAGGTGGTTGCAAGGAGTTGTGAATATTATGGCTACAATGTCACTGCGTTGCCTTAATCTTGGCCCGCATTGCGAAAGAGTTTCCTGTATTGCATCTATCAGAAATGTGATTCGTTGCATCCATGTAAGGTTCTATTGCCACCAATTTCATATGTGAAAGTATATCTCGTTGCAAGTATTAGTTGTATTGCCACATAAATTTATTCGTGGGCCTTGCATAGTCCTACACAGGCCAAAGGCAAAGGGGTTAGGCTAAACAGCCGATCACCGGGTAGGCCCATCGTGTCATGTAGGGTTTTACTATGGTACCCAAATAACTGTGGACCGTACATATTTTGTATACATTTGTTTATTTTGTTGCCTTTTCTTTTTTCTAAACATTTTAATTAATTAATAATTACTTAGTTATTGCAAGCATTTCAAAATGAAGGGCTAAGATTTTTTTGAGATCTTACCTCCCATGAGGTAAAGGGGTACCTTAGCAAGGCCCTGTCATGTAAGAGCAACTCCAAGAGACTCTCTATATTCTTCTTAAATGCTAGGAATAGAGATTTTGGTTAAAAACTATACTCCAACATCTTCTCTAAATGGTTATCCAAATATAGCCATCTTTTATTTCGAATTTTTCGCTAGTAAAAAATAGAAGACGAGAATGACTCTCTAGAGTACGAAGGAGATATAGAAGAACTGTTGGAGAGTGGAATGATATATAAAGCGATTTTTATGCAAATGACTCTCCAAGTGATGATTTAGAAAGTGGGATTTAGAAAGGGGAAATGGCTTTCCTCAGCTGCTGTTAGGCATGCAGTTCTCTGTCTCAGGGATCTCAAGCAATCAGGTGATAATTGCTTCAGTTTGCCTCTCTCTAATACAAAAGCTCCAATCAGATGCCATGGACGGCTCTGAAACTGTTGTTCTCGTCCAAGATATCAAACGGATGGTTCGAGGCTCTTCTATTACTTTTTCTCCCATCCATGTCAGTAGATGTTGTAATATGGTAGCACATGTACTTGCTAGGTCGGCCGATCAGCTCTCGACTCGGTTTGGTTTCACGAAGCAACAGATCTTATCTGGACTCCTCTATGTAACGATCGGTTCAATTAATTAAATGCTACCTTTTACTCTAAAAAAAAGTGAGATCCCATACATGGCCTCAAGCCCTAAACTTGAGACGACGTTATGTTACTGTTAATAAGCACGCTAGCAGGGTGAAGATTTTTTTAAATAAAGGTTTACACTGCTGTTGTCGTACAAAGAGTTTGGCTAAAAGACTGTCTCGAATTGATTGCAATGATTACTCTGAAATAGGTGTTACCTCTATTGAACCATTCAAGATAATTGTTCAGGAGTCTGAAAAGAAGAAATCAGTTTCAGTAAGCAAAGCATGTTCTGAGAGAGCTGTTTCAAGCCATAAACCAATGAGCTATGTCAAGCCTAACGAATAGATTATGTTTTCAAGCCATAAATGTATGTTTCAGTTAGCATGATTCTGAAAACAGCGTATTAGAATGGTTCATTAATCTGAAAAATAACTTCATTGCAGAGGAGCATCTAGCTGATGGTATTTCACAACATGGTTCAGTTATCTTGGAAAAAATACACGAAAGACCAGCTGCTAGTTGATGGTTTACCAGCATATTAGCATGGTTCAGACACATGAATGGAAGTTAGCCAGCAGGCTTCTGAAGCTACTAAGGAAAAAAGTGACTAACATCAGAAGTTCAGTAAGCATGCATGGGAAGAAAACCACAATAGTAGTTGATGAGTACTATGCGTCATGAACGTTGAAACAGCTCTTGTTACTGTAATCCTTGCAATTGACTGAGTATTGCGTCACTGTGTTTGAATAACAGCCCATCCATGCATGTGCCCTCTGTGTGAAGTGTAAATAGTACTGTTGATTTGCATTTGCGTTGGCAAACCTATGTCATATGGTGTATGAATGAGTGAGACTCAGCAAAAGTTTTCTCCTACAAATACTTGTGTAAAACAAATGGTGCTAATGCTTTTGTTTTCAGTTTTAGATTTGACTTGTTGGAGCATTTTTTGTAATGTTATTACGTTTCTGTGAGCTTTATTTATGGGCTTGTGATTATAAATTGTGCAATCCTACTGGTGCAAGCTCTCATTGAAGGAAAACATAAATCACAAGTGGGAAACAAATTGGGAGCTGGTGCAAGGCTGCTAAATTTTTAAGAGTTTTCCCAGGCCCCCATATGAAATCCGTTGCAGTGCAGCAGAAGACAGGAAGAGAAGGAGCTGACCTGGACCGGACAGGGAAACAGGCGGAGATAGGAGGTCCGGGCGGGCCGGCGGCTACGGACGAGAGCATCAGCAGCAGGCTCCATCCTCCCTTCTCTACAACGACAATAGATCCATAGAGACTGAGAGGTGAACTGATGATGACAAAAGTTCCCCAACACAGGAACCCACGAATTATACTCTTCGCTGCAGGATCAACAGCATTAACCGATGAATTAGTGAAGAAATTACTTGGCGGATGCTGACGATACGGGGAGCTATTTGAAGCAGCATCGATTCCGAAATCGGGGTGCGGCACACGACAAGAATTCGTTGCCCTTGAGGAGCTAGAACTGGAAGCGCGGGTGCGGCGCCAGGCAGCAGGGTGAGCACGATTGGTGCGCGGCGGCCGGCGAGGCTGACGAAAGCGTTCAGCACGGGCGTGTTTGGTTACCTGGTGTAGGCCCTCTTTAATACAACTTGGGCTTATTTGGTTCCTATTTGACCTGGTAGCCAGGCTTCTACGAGCCCATTTCGTACTAATTTGGTGGCTTATTTGGTTCTCGCGAAGCCAGGCTTGGCCAGCCCCGCTGCCGTGTCCGCTCACCTCCTCTTTCGTCGGCTCGTCGCCCTCTGCGCCACGGACGGACCTACGTGGGGGCAAAGTGGGTCCTAGCCCCTTTTGCTCCGGTTATATCACTCTGGAGATTTGCATATCACTATATGCATGTAATTAATTCATATCTATTTTATATCATTCTTGCTGTTGTTAATAAGTAGATTATAGCTTACAAGTATATAAATCCGCATATTGTTCATTCTTCTTTGATAGAATTTTAATTATTCATCGTAGACGTAGATAGAATTTGAAAAAAACAAAGATTTTCCACGAAATTCCAATTATCTATACCACCGCTAGTAACTACTGTAGCAGGGTAGCTTTGAATTAGCCCTCCCTACACATTCATGCAAGCTCCGCCACTGCTCTGCGCCACCAACGCCAGCCACCCGAGAGCGCCGCAGCTGCCGCACCAACCACCGCGTGAGACTGCCGGCCACATCTCCTCCCACAGCCGCCGCGTGCTCCCTCTCTCTCCCAGATCCGTCTGCTCCTTCTCTCTCCCTGAGATCTGGTGGCCATGGCCGGATTCGCGCCACCATGGGAGCTCCGCCGCCATGGATGCAACCTGGGAGCTCCACTGCGCCACTCCTCCACACAAGCTCCACCTTCACGCGACACGCACGAGCACGCCGGCCTTCACGAGCATGGTGGCCTTCATGCGACCATGGATGAGAAGCACGAGCACGCCGGCAAGCACGAGCAGCAGACGAGCAACGGCCGCGACAAGCTCCAGCGCCAGCAGACGAGCAGCACGAGGAACGTGAGCACGCCAGCGCGAGCTCCACCTTCTTCTCCAGCTCGCTGCCTCCAAATCGAGCTGTGCGGCAGTGGTGTCCGTCGGCGAGGGGACAGAGGAGTGTCGAGCCGGTGGAGGACGACGAGCTGCAGCCATGGGGATGGCGAGGTTCCACTCTGCTCACAACCACGCGCGCCGCTGCCGGATACCACGCGAGCGCCGCCGACCCCTGCGAGAGCTCCCCCAGGTCCCTGCGTGCGCGCTGCCGAGGACGCCGACGAGCGACGACGGCCCAGCGCGAGCTCCGCCTTCTGCCATGGCGGATTCGCATGGCGGACTCGAGCTCCACCTTCTTCTTCCCTGTGCTCGCATGGCAGACTCGTATGGCGGACTCGAGGTGGACCTTCTTCTTCCCTGTGCCTGCTGCCATGGTCGCCGAGCACGCCCACCACCTGTTCGACTAAAGTCGTCAGAGGAGTAAACTAACCAGGAGAGGTGATTCAAGGCTTAGCCGGTACAAGGAACCAAACATGTGCTACTTGTGTTGGCTAAATCTGGCTAAAACTAGACTGTCTTCGTTTTGCTAGCCAGGCTCATACAGGAAACGAACCAAACACACACTATCAGTACAACAGAACTGCAACGGTCCAAACCATTCACTGCCGAAACCCGTATTCGGGATTAAAAGACGCATTTCAAGTCCACCTATTTCAACGTTCTCCCCGGGAAGGCGGTTTCTCAACGCCTCCGCTTCGTCAGGTGAAGCTAGAGGGAGAAGGGCGCCATCTCCATTCAGACTGACAGAGATGCTCCCCCGCCATCGCCATGTCCGCCGCCTCCTTCTCCTCGCCAAGCCCCGGCCTCTCTCCACCAGCGCCACCACGGCCTCCTCACCTCCCGACCCCGCTCCCTCCTCCTCCCCCGCCTTCCCCGTCGCTCCCTGCCCCGACCCGTCCGCTCTCTCCCCCGACGACGCCATCGCGCTGCTCCCGTCCGTCGCGGACGCCGAGGGCTCCGCGGCGGCGCTGGCGCTCTTCTGCCGGCTGGCCGCCCGCCCGGACCTCCGCCACCTCATGCGGCTCTACGCCACGGCCGCCACCTTATTCGTCGCGCGGGGGAACCTGCCGATGGCGCACGAGGCGGCGCGCGCGATGGTGGCCGCATTCGCGGAGCGCAGGCGCCTGCGGGAGGCCGCGGACATGCTGCTCGAGCTGCGGAGCCACGGGCTCCCGCTCGCCGTCGAGACGGCCAACTGGGTGCTCCGCGTCGGGCTGCGGCGCCACCACCCGGGCTGCTGCTTCGCGCACGCGCGCCAGGCGTTCGACGGAATGGGCGTGCGCCCCGACGAACGCAGCTTCCGGGCGCTCGTCCTCGGGTGCTGCCGGGAAGGGCGGTTCGAGGAGGCGGACGCCCTGCTGGCGGCGATGTGGCGGGAGGGGTTCTCCCTGGACAGCGCCACGTGCACGGTGGTCGTGCACGCGTTCTGTCGGCAGGGACGGTTCAGGGACGTGCCTGGGCTGTTCGGGAGGATGGTGGAGATGGGCCCGCCGCCAAATGTGGTGAATTACACCGCGTGGATAGATGGTCTGTGCAAACGAGGCTATGTCAAGCAGGCGTTCCATGTGCTGGAGGAGATGGTTGCGAAAGGGTTGAAGCCGAATGTGTACACGCATACGTCGCTCATCGATGGGCTGTGTAAGATTGGGTGGATGGAGCGGGCGTTCCGGCTGTTCTTGAAGCTTGTTAAGAGTAGCTCGTACAAGCCGAACGTGCACACGTACACTGTGATGATTGGTGGGTACTGCAAAGAGGGGAAGATTGCTCGAGCTGAGATGCTGTTGGGTAGGATGGTTGAGCAGGGACTCGCCCCGAACACAAACACATACACTACACTGATCGATGGGCACTGCAGAAGGGGCAGCTTCGATCGTGCCTTTGAGCTGATGAACAAGATGAAGCTGGAAGGTTTCCTGCCCAACATTTACACATATAATGCCATTATTGGGGGATTTTGCAAGAAGGGAAAGATTCAAGAGGCTTACAAGGTGCTGCGAATGGCCACTAGTCAGGGGCTGCATCCTGATAAGGTGACATACACTATGCTGATAACTGAACATTGCAAACAGGGCCACATAGCTTATGCTCTGGATTTGTTCAACCAGATGGCAGAGAACAGTTGCCATCCTGATATTAGACACATATACCACCATCATTGCTATGTATTGTCAGCAGAGGCAAATGGAACAAAGTCAGCAGCTCTTTGACAAATGTCTTTCCGTAGGATTAGTGCCAACTAAGCAAACTTATACCTCGATGATTGCAGGATACTGTAGAGTTGGCAAATCGACCTCAGCTCTCAAGGTCTTTGAGAGGATGGTTCAACATGGATGCCTTCCTGACTCTATAACTTATGGGGCACTAATAAGTGGGTTATGCAAGGAATCAAGACTAGAGGAAGCAAGGGCATTATTTGAGACCGTGCTTGATAAGCATTTGGTGCCATGCGATGTAACTTGTGTCACTTTAGCTTATGAATACTGCAGGAGGGATAAGACAACCATTGCTGTATCATTCTTGGATAGACTGGACAAACGGCAACAGGCTCATACAGCAGATGCACTAATTAGAAAGCTCAGGGGTAATTTGGTTGCTGCTAGTCTTTTCCTTAAAAATGTTCTGGACAAGCATTATGTTGTTGACCAGAAGGGCGGGCCTGGTGCAAGTGGTAGAGTCTTACCGCCTGTGACCGGAAGGTCCCGGGTTCGAGTCGCGGTCTCCTCGCATTGCACGACAGAGGTAAGGCTTGCCATCGACACCTTCCCTCAGATCCCCCCCGCAGGCGGGAGCTCTCTCTGACTGGGTACGCCTCATGCAACTTATACAAGCTTCATCAATTCATGCTATGAAAGCAATAGATATGCTCTAGCTTCTGAAATATCTGAAAAGATCTCAAAGCGGATTTCTGGCTTTAAGAAAAAGGATGTTGCAGTTATTGCTTGATTTGCAAGAGCAATCCAAATTTCTCCCACTCATGCAACATAGAAATTTGGCAGGAGCGCTCGATATTCCTTTTGAGCACAGCTTCTATGCCTATCGACGGCTGTAAATGGTATGGCTTTCTTATTTGGTGCCATGAACTATAATATAAAGTTTTTTCAGTATTACTTTGTCAATGTTTTGAAGGGCGGCTCTGATGCAAGCGGTAAAGTCTTACCGCCTGTGACCGGAAGGTCCCGGGTTCGAGTCGCGGTCTCCTCGCATTGCACAGGCGAGGGTAAGACTTGCCACTAACACCCTTCCCCAGACCCCGCACAGAGCTGGAGCTCTCTGCACTGGGTACGCCCTACTTTGTCAATGTTTTGCTCTTGCATACTCGATGATCTTATAAAATATCCATGTCAAGGTTAAGATGACCAGATATTGATTAATGGATTGGATAAGAGCTGCTTGAGGATTTGTATGGGGTCTGCTTTTGCATAAACCATGTGAATAGAAAGAAAGTAAGTTGTTCATATGGGCACACAAATTGTTATTTCGTCAGGACCATAGTAGTATTTCATTTGAGCCTTATTTTAATTTGTTTGATGCAACTCTTGTGAATCCTTATATTTCTACAGGGTAACAAGTCTTTCTTAAATACTCTGAAGATATCAATGTTATATGATCTGCATCATGTATGATGGAGTTAAGGTTAGTTTACCCACGGTACCTTGTTCTGAAAAATATATTTGATATTACACTAATTGAAACTTTGCACACACAGATGCTTCTTATCTGTCTTCTACTCCCTCGGTCCCAGAAAAGATGCAATTCTAGGTCTGGTTAAGTCGAGGGCGTATCTTAACTTTGACAAGTTCATAGAAAATAGTATCAACATTGGTGATTTCAAAAAGGTATATACTATGAAAATATATTCAATGATGAATTTAATGATACTATCTTTGTATTTAAATTTAGTCAAACTTAAGAAGGTTTGACTGGATACTATTCTAGAATTGCATCCTTTCTGGGATGGAGGTAGTACTTTCTGACTTAACTGTTGTTATTTGAACCTCGTTGATGGTGTCAGTCTTTAGTAGTCCTAACTCCTAAGTCGATTCTTCATCCCCAGTTAGACAAATCTCTGTGATTGCTGGTATTTCAGCGAACCGTTGCTGTCTACACAAATACAGTGATTATTGATTGTGGGATTTATCCATTTGCTAATTCTTAATTGAAGATGTCTTATGCTTTAGCTCTTTTTATGGGTCCTTATTGAATATGTTTGATTCTAAGCTCCACATGTTTATTTTCTGAAACCTCCATATGATCATCATTTGTTTCTTGTATTTTATACTTACATACTAACTTAGTCGAAAGGAAAGTTACTGTATGATATCAATCTGGACAAGGTTCCATTCCACTGGTCCTGCCATACTTACTACTGATGGCTCTATTCCATTGTTATAAGATAACTGCAATACAGCACACTGTGAGTAAAGTTCTCGTTATGTGATTGCTGAAGTTGTTGGCTTTTTAAGCTAAATTTTGAATTCAAGGCTTTAAGTTTTACACACACACAACAGAGAATTTGAGAGTTATCGACTAATACAGAATGCAATTAAAATGTAGAACAGTCTATAGTCTTAATATACACATGTTCTGAGCTAGGTGCGGTCCTATCGTTGTATTAACAGCATATGGATGGAGTTACTTGTGCAAGCTATTACATAAGGACCTTACAGACTATTCCTAATCGTCAATATTTGTATTGCGTAATCCTGAAATTTCCTTATAGCCTTTCTACTTAAGGAACAAGTGAAAATCATGTCACTTTCTTATGACAGCTCATCTGCCAGTTGACAACTCAATGGCTTCCGGGATGTTTAGAGACTCTTCACTGAAGTTGAATAGTTTGCCCTGTTGCCTCATCTCATGCTGTTGTCGTCGTTGGAGCTCAGCCAGCTGCCATTCCTCCCACCGCTCTGTTGGGACAATCTCTCCTTCCAGCATCTGCACCACCTCAGACATTGTAGGCCGTTGATCATGGTCCATGTGAGTGCAGAGGAGTGCTATCTGGGTAACCTTCTCCAGCTCTTCAAGGTTGTAGAAGCCACCTAGATTGCGATCCACTAGGTCAAGTAGTCGCCCTTCTTCCATCCATAGCTTGACCTTCACATTCGCAGTCATTTGAATCAACTCGTGATTTTAAGTATTGTTTCCTTTAGGGGACAACTATGTGAACCAATGTTTGACCAGAAACTGTAAGATAATTGCATGGTTATACCTAGTTGCTACTGATAGTAGATTTCAGATTACTACGGTTTGCAAAATTTCTGTTTAGGCCTCAACATTCTTCTCAGTTTTTCTTGACCTCTCAGTAACACTATGCACCTGATATGTACCGATTTACTCGTACCAATAGGATCATGTAGTTATCTTACCTGATCAATGAGCATGATCTCGCCTGCTTCTTCTATGCGTTGAGGATGGAATGCAATTGCACGATCTCCTGTCACAATCTCTAACAGCATGACACCGTATCCAAAGATATCTGTCTTCACTGATGGCCTTCCCGTCTTTATGTACTCAGGAGCTATGTGGCCCATAGTCCCACGAAGCCCTGTTGTTACTGTATTCCTCCCTATGTCCATCATCTTCGCCAACCCAAAATCTCCTACCACTGCTTCAAAGTTCCCATCAAGCAGGACATTTGCAGCCTTGACGTCACGGTGGATGATCTTGGGATTGCAGTGCTCATGAAGGTATTCCAAACCACGGGCAGCACCAAGAGCAATTCGCATTCTTGTAGACCAATCTAACGCTGGTTCGTTTAGTTTTATATCTGCAATGCAATCATTATTAAAATATTTGAGAAGAAAAAGGATATAGGGAAAATTACTATGTTACCTAAGTTGTTTGAAACTTTTATATAAAGCTGGATAAAAGTTAGAGAAAATTCAACTATGTATCCTTTTTTAATGTTGCATAGTTTCAGCATCAAGCATTTACAACGTTCACTCGTAGTCTTTGGCAATATGTTACCTCATTGACACAACTATATGCTTCAATGGATGATTCTGAGTGAAGGACAACTTCATAATGAGGAAGTGATGATCATAGCTTAGTTGTACCTCTTAAACGGGAAGCAACACTAAGATTCTCCATGAAAGGGTAGACCAAGAGCCTCTCTGTTGTTGTTGTACAAAATCCTATCAACCTTAATATGTTCTTGTGCACAGCAATGCTTATCAATTCAACTTCTCTGAGGAAAGCCATTTCCCCTTCACGACTGTCCACATTCAGTAGCCGTTTCACTGCAATCTTTATACTGTTTGGACCTGGAAGTACTCCTTTATACACCTTACCAAAACCACCCCTGCCAAGAACATTCTGTTCACTGAAATTGTTGGTTGCAATCTGAAGCTCCCGCCATGAGAACCTCTTTATTTGCCCAAACTCAAGCATATGATCATTCTGACCTGGAATTGTTGAACATGTTTGTCTTTTATCAGATAAAAGAAGTTAGATATTTTCTTTCAGAATGCTTAATTTATTGAGCCATTTCAATCCGTGGAAATATGTTTTCCTCATTGAAAGTTACCACTATGGTAATTATTTAACAAACATAGTGACAGACCTGACACATCAATGAAGATTTCAGGCTGGTAACGCATTCTTTGCCACCATAGCAAAACTAGAACTACTGTTACAAAAAGAGTGACTGCTCCAGCAATGCTTCCAATAACCACCTTTAGCTTGGAATTTTTTGACCCACCTGAATGTATTAGCAAGCATTCATTCTGAGAAAAATGCCCTCAGTTTCCCTCCAAATTTAGTCTCAATTTGTCACTATGGTTTACCAGTTTTTCTAGTAATTACCTGTCCTTGTGCTGCCTCCTTCACATGGAAATAAATTTTGGCCACAATTCAAGTGGTTGCCTGTAAAGCTGGGAAGCAAAAATCATCTACTAAGGATACTATAAAGTAGCACACATGAAATGATGAATTTTGTTTCTGTAATCTGCTTTCCTACAGTTATATGACATACTTGTAATGAGCCGCCTGAAGTAGATGTTGTGGGATTTCGCCGCTAATATTATTATGTGCTAGATTACTGCAAAATAAATTGAGTTATTTTACATGATAATTGAGCAACTATTCACTTTCTTGAATGAACTAATATAATGGCACTAGCAAGTATGACAGCGGTTAAATTTGACAGGTTTTACTTGTACATCTTGTTGCCATGAAGAAAAAAAAAACTTACATGTTATTCAATGATGGAAGATTTGAGAAAGAGCTTGGGATATTCCCGCTTAAATAATTGTGGCTTAGATCCCTGTACAAGTTATCAGTTATCACTCAGGGTTTCTTTATCAGTCATGATAATATGGGGTCATGGCTGACTTACAGATTTTGGAGTTTAGAAAGTTGTCCAAGGGAGTCCGGTATCGATCCATTTAAATTATTTCTTCCAAGTTTTAGAATTGTCAAACTTGATAGGTTTCCAAACTCCAGAGGAATCCCTCCAGTTATGTTGTTGTTATCCAGTATCCTGAAACCATAGTATATAGCAAGCAGCAAGTTTATCCATCTTGTATGGGGACCTAATTTTATGTATGATTGGACCTATTTTCATGGGCACCAATTGTTGGACACTCAAAAAAATACACGGGCAACTTACAGCTGCTGTAAAGTTGTTAGCTTTGCAATGCTGGGTGATAAGGTTCCTGTGAACCCAGACGAGCTCAAAGTTCTGCAAACTCATAATGAGAAACTAAGCAATTAGTTATATGAACACAAGTACACAGCACTACAAGCTTATAATAGTAAAATTAGGAAAGAATAGAGCATGAAACAATTCCATTCAAATGAAAACTCTTCTCCTTTACAAATGGTTGGGATTAATCACTTTAGACATAGTCAACTGTTAGAATTGGATATTTCCTTATGTTCGATGACCATAATGTGAATTTTCTACCTCTGGCAGTAATAGAGTTCAAAGTCTAGAAAGCTGAGATGAATAGGCTGAACTTACATTGTTGTAACTTTGTTGTTATCTTGACAATTAACATATTCCCAGTAGCAGGGGCTCATTTGATTATCCTTCCAATCACTAAGGACACCACGGTTATCGCCAAGTTGCATCTTCATTTCAACCAGTGCTTCGACTGCAGACAAAACAGTCTTATTTCTGGGGTCCCAAGGTAGACTCAAGTTCTCAAAAAGTGAAATACTTCTTATTGAATCTATTCAGTGCCTCACATGCAATCTGGAATCTGTAGCACTTAAATACACAGGGCATGGCAGACAATATTTCGCCAATTGGAGATATATATATTTCAACCAAAGAAAATGAGCAGTGCTCAATAGAAGTGCTTTTATGCCCCTCTTTGTGAGAATATTACAAGGGCACTAATTAGTGGGGTCAAGCAGGTGGTCTGACCATTCCATTGGTATGCATTATTATCTATTGCGCAGATTTTTTCTAGAGTTTCTAATTCAAACATTTGACTGGTGACAGACAGGGAGCCAAATGTCTAAGATCCACTTATGTGGTCAGTAGAGATAACCTAGTCCATAGCATACCTCCATAGCAAATAATTTGTATGCCTCTGATGAAAGCTTGTCACTCAGAATCAAAGTTTCAGTTTAAATATATAAATTGCTTATCTAATGCCAGCTAATCAAGAACATTTTATTTGGCAAAAATGTTAAATGTCATAGCCATACCTTGGGAGTCGACAGCGAGAGAACATCTTATTTGGCATCCCAACAGAAGTAACATAAAAGCTAATAGCTTCATGGCTTCTGAATTGATCATCATGTTTTTGTTTCAAGAACAGATGCACTGCTGAATGTACTCTGATTCGGTTTACTTTTGTCAAAAAAGAAGCCCTTGTGAAGTGAAATCATTGCTGGACTGCTGCATCAATGAAACAAAGCGCGTAAGTGGAGAGCAAACAGAGAAGAATGGAAGACAGGAATACTCAGAAGAAATCTGGCATGGTTCACAACTGGATTTCTGGAAGCAAGATGGAATGGTATAACATGCCATGAATCTACATCAGCACAAAGTTTAGTTTGTTAAGGATTATATCTACAGTGGTTAAAGTTTAGTTCTGACTTCTTGTATGGAAAACAAAGTATATCGTATTTGAGGGTGGAAAAAGATTTGTATGTGTGAAATGAGTCTGTGTGTGGTAACTGAACTTCAGTAGCTCAATAGTATTCTTTTTTTTTAAAAAGAAAAACAATTAGCTCAATAGTATTCACCAGTTCCCAGAGTTACCTCTGATGCATTTCTCAGAAAGAAAAGTTCATCTGGCATAGACATTTACATGTAAGTCCAGAATACGGAGCCAGTGAGATTATCTGTATCTGATGAGGCCTAATGACCCTACATGCCTTGTCAGTTACTACAGCCAGCCCCTATACAGCCTGTTCGCTTGCTCGTAAACGATCGTAAATTTTCAGCCGGGAACAGTGTTTTTCTCTCACACCAAACCAGCCAGCAGTAAATAATCCACGATACGATACGGTCTCCCGAACAGGCTGTATATTCTCATACATGAAAGCCCCCCTTTTTTTATTTTGTAATGACTTAGTGGGATGTACAGCAAAGCAGAATCGCTTCCAGTTGTGCCAGCATCAAGATTCGTTGAGCAGTAAGCATGTTTTTGTCTCTCCTTTTTTGGCGCTTACATAGCAACTTCTCAAAAGTCACTTCCTTGCCCCTACTCTGTTTCAAGAACTTGGGATCATGACATGCAGGTGAACTTTCTCACTCATTTCCTGTCCATTTTGCTATGCAGGTGGAAACTTCCAGTGGCCAGAGGTAGTGTTTTCATGTTGGGTTGTGTTTGGGGGGAAACAAAGCTTTACTATCCTTCCATTGGTTTCGCCACAAAAGGCAAGCAAGAAGCAGAGGCAGCTATAAGCCCTGAAGCAGGGGAAACCGCTCTAATGGAGAGGAAGCAATCCAGTCAAGCAAACAGATACTCGAAGAAGAAGAAGACGACGACGACGACCAAGAAATCAAACAGGCAATACTTGTATGTGAGCAACTCAGCATGCAGCAAGGAAGACCGGCAAGAACTAGCAATCCAGTCAAGCAAAGAGATACTCAAAGAAGAAGACGACGAGCATGCAGGAAGGAAGGAAGACCGGCAAGAACTTACAAGAGAAGGGGGGAGAAGCATCAGGCCTGTGGTGCACCCAGCTTCTCAGAACTTTCTCTGAGCGACTGAACCTCAGGAGTTATAACGAACACTCGGTTGTTCGGAGGCTTGGAAAGAGGATAGTGGAGAGAAGCTTCAGCTCTGCTCTGTTCGCTTGGCTTAAAAGCCGTACTTTTTCAGCCAACGAATAGTATTTTTCTCTCACAACAAATCAGCCAACAGTACTTTCAGCCATGGCTTATCAGACGAATATCGCGTGCGAACGGCTCGGATTGGCTACCGTACAGATTCTCCACTCGTAAGCCTAGGGCTGTCAATACCGGCCCATGTACCCGTATCAGCACGGAGATCTTTATCCTACTAAATTATCCCACTAGCAGATCTTCTAATCTCATAATAACATGGTCCTACAGTCATTTGGGCATAAGATTTTTGTTAGGAGTAGTAGAGCAAGTTGAATAGGAGTAGAAAAGAAGAGGGAAGGTGAGCATAGGGAGCTGAATAAACAGGATTGGGGTCTGAGCCTAAAAATTGTTTAAGACGACTCTGCTTGCCCTCCCCATTGACTAGCTAATGGACAGGGAAATTCACCCAAACCACCCTGACTTTTCCATATATTTTTCTGCAGCATCCAGGTCCCACGCAATTATTATGAGACTGTACTCTGAAGAATATCGACGTGGATTCGAGTATTCGACCATGGCAGAAGTTTTTGTTTAACACAAATCAGAATAAGTGGAGCAAGTGAACTGAGCTGCGTAGTAGGTAGTCCGTATGTTTCTTGAACAAAACTAAGGAGACTGTCAGTCTAACTGTGACACTGTACCTACTGATGTTGCCCCTGCTGAGCCATTTATTATTCCCTGATACTGAAACGACGATACGTGGATGACAAATTACAGGTCGTCGGTCTTCTGCTCTCTGTGTGTTTGTGTTTTACTCGGCCAAAATGTACCTTTCATGATGACATGGGCCCATGACACTAAAGAGTGGGTATAGATATGTCTGTTAGTTCCACTCGATTAGTGTGAGTAATGCGTGTTATCATCCCTTTTTAGATTAATTGCGCCATGTTGTTATCAGTACAGTTATTAGTAAATTAAAGTTTAACTAATTCTAGAGTAAATTTATCCGGCACTAACTGCTGTCTGTATTATTCTACTGCAAATTGGCAAATAACCTATGGTTGCAACGTTCCATGATGTAAATACAATATGTATGTATAAAAATAGCGCTTTTGACCGTTGACTCAACTACAGAATCCTGTCCAGATCAGCTTTCACTGAAACTTCAACATGTCAAGCATACTGCTGTTTTTCTCAGTTTTCATTCTGGATGATTGTGACTCTGAGTTATCCAACTGGGGTTCAAGGAATGCTATTGCTAAGTATCAAAGGTGCTCCTTTTAGCACTGCAATATTAATGATGTTGGAAATGTTCAATCGATGATTATCGGCAAGTTACTCCATTCCTGGGCACTTCTGTTCTTAACATTTTTTCCTCAGCATAACCCAGAAAAGTTTGTTCTTCCACTCCAGGGAAAAAGAAATAAAAAAGGAAAAGAATCTGCTTTAATTTGCCATCTCATTTTGTTCCTTTTCACAGCTGGTGGTAAACTTTTGTTTGTCTATTACTAACTTTTCACGCAAGTGGAATAGGGATAAAATGTTCCCACCAGTCCATACGTCTGAAGGCTTTGGATGCCTTGTTATAAAACATCCGATAAAATTTGGTAGACTCTAATCATCACCAATAATAATAGCGATATAATGAATTACAATGTAAGCACTAAATGTATGTGTGGGAGGGGGCAGGGGGGTTAAGTTTTCTTAAAAACTATTAATGAGGAATGGAAAATGTATTGACCAGTTGTAACCAAAAGTCTATTACACCTAGATAAAGATTACACAAGCGTTACAAAATAAACAAATGAGAGAGTGAATGCACAAAGATCGTAACTTTGATTAGTTGTAAGCCTCAAATTTATCCACAAACTTGTAACGTTCATGTGCCTTTTAAAATACATGTAACTGCTAGTTTGTGTAGGAGCACATGTTGATGTACTAGTGCTTCATAATTCATCTACATGATTATTGTTTTTATCAAATGAAAAAGAAGAAACACATGCCTATAATTTAATTTATTTGGTATATAGAAAAAGGCTACCTGCAAGCAAGTGTGGAATAAGAATGCTTTACAATGAAGAAACGTTTGGACATTAAACAAGAAAGATAGAACTATTCGCGAAAAAGGTCAAACAGGTGTCCTGCACCTCAAAGATTCAATCTTAGCCTCTAACTTGAGATTATTGTACAAAAAAGTTGAAACCACCAACAAGTATGTAACATATTGTTTACACTACAGAAACAGATAGGTAACACAACACTAAAGCAAAGAGTTATGTTCTTTGCGTCGATGCCCAAATTGGTGCCCTACACCTCATAGATTCAAGGTTAGCCGCTAGATCACCATCACAGCATAACAAAAAACAATGACCAACAAAATCTTTTGAAAAACCGAAAGGTCTACAAAATCTAGTGAACAGTGTTGGGGGATGACGCATATATTCTGTCCCCACTTCAGGCCAGGCCGTGCCTCACATTGCTCCAAAGCCATCCTCATCCAGCTCCCCTCTCCCGGAGTCGAGCTGTCCTGAGAATGACTACGCTGGATTCCATGTCCTTTGGTTGGTTGGTTTCTTCCAAAGCTTTCATGGCACACGCACAGAAAAGCGAGTCCTGATGCTCTTTGGCCGAGAGACAAGCAGATCTAAGGAGCAAGAGAACAGAAGGACGGTATGTCAGGGCATGCAGGTGTGCATCGAGCAGACAAGCCCATGGCACACGTTCATCTTGTCAAACCAGTCACCCGGCTCTGGTCTTGCATGACTGTGTGTGGGGCTGGTGTAAAGGCTGTCGCCTTTTGAACTTCTTTGGTAGACTGGGACGACTGTGAGGGTCGATTGAGTACGGATCACTAGTATTTTTGAGGAAACAGGAGAGGCCCAGGGACCTCTACTGAAGGATCACTGGTACTTAGTACAGATTGGGCACAAATAAAAACCATACGATGGTTTATTCAAATTAGAACTAAATCATAGTTAACGGAGCAAATCCTCTTTTAAACACTTGAAATAAATTTAGAGGTTCATGAGCCAACAACCTCTCTCCCATACAATCCAGGGGTGTAAGTAAACGGATGTATTTGTTCGCGCAATTTCCTTCAGTAGAGCAAAATGGAATTGTTGGTGTAAGGAACAAAGGTAAGAGTGGCATGTGTGAAAGGCACCTCCAAGTCTCCGTCTAGTTGCCCTCCTTCATACGGTGAAGTGTCTAGGATGTCCTTCTCTGATGGTGCAATAATAAACCCACTGCTTTTCAAACTAATAGTGAACTTCTTTTTTCTTTTTTGGGGGGGTTTCTGATACTAATAAAAATAAATAAATTACAGAATCCGTCAGAAATCCACGAGTCGAATTTATTAAGCCTAATTAATCCGTCATTAGCACATATGTTACTGTAGCACTACATTGTCAAATCATTGACTAATTAGTCTTAAAAGATTCGTCTCGCAAATTAGACATAATCTGTGCAATTAGTTAATTTTTAATCTATATTTAATACTCTATGCATATGTCAAACATCCGATGTAATAGGACGTAAAGTTTTGAAGGATGAACTAAACAAGGCCGTTCTAAAGCACTTGGATACGCCTAGATAGGATTGCAGTTTTTCCGAGAACGGCAACCTAATTACAACGTTTTTCCATGCATTCACTTATTTGAAGGGTTCAATAAACAAAATACGGTAGTGGGGCCTGCATAAAGAGTGGCCCCTTTTGAAATTCTGTTTTTGCCCGTGCATTGGAATGGAAATGAGGTCCTAAGACAGACAACCTTCTTGCATGTATAAGGAGCATAATTTAGGAGGTATAATTCCACTCCATTCGTTCCAAAATATTTTATATATTGCGATTAAACAAATGTTCCAAAAACTTGGGCCGTTTGAGCATCCACATCTAATCCCGTCGCATCCATGGCTGTTAGAGCAATTTAAGAGACCCTCTATATCATTTTTAAATGCTAGAAATAGAGATTTTAGTGAAAAATTACCCTCCAACAGCTTGTCTAAATGGTTATGTAAATATAGCCATCTTCTATTCTGAATTTTTCACTAGCAAAAAATAGAAGACGAGAATGGCTCTCTAAAATGTGCACAAGATATAGAAAAGCTGCTGGAGAGTGAAAAGATATAGAAAACGATTTTTATGTAAATAACTCTCTAAATAATAAGTTAGAGAATGATATTTAGAAAGACTCTCGGAGATGATTTCGTGCCACCTAATTTTTCCATGCCACGCGTGGCCAGTTTTCTATTCGCAGCAACAATCTGCTCGTGGCTGCTGACCAATGAGGCAGCCCACTTGTATTCATTCCGTCCAAAAATAACGACAATAATATCTCATTTGTTTAAAAGTCATTTATTAAAAACGATAATGATATAAGCCTCTGTCGTCCATCCATGACTCCTGTCCGGATGCGGCTCCTCAGGAGCGGGCGCCATCTCTCCATCTCTCTCAGAAATAGAAAAACGAATCCTCACTCGCTCATCCTTATCCGCCCGGCGCTCGACACAGCAGCGTGGCCGCTCATTCGTCCGCGCCCCTTCCCCCACCATGCGCTCGTTGGCTGCTGCGTCGTGCCCCACCACCCCGCGCCCCATCGCCGACCGCGCCGCGGGCCCGTCCCAGAATCCTGTGTCGCTCGCTCCCTCGCCGTCCGTCCCTCCGTCTCCCATTGCCGTCGTGCACGCCACAGACCCCGCCATGGCCGTTGGGCGCATGTGGCATGGTGCCATAGGTCTTCCCTGGCTGAGCCAAGGGCACCCACTAGCTCGAGCGGTGCTGGCGGTGCTCGAGCGCCGCGGCTTGCCGCCGGCTCCGACCCCGACAGCGTGAATCGACCGGCCCGGCCTTTCCCCTCCCCTATGTTGCATATGTATGTTTTGAAGTGTTTCAAGCATTTCATATTATGTTGCAATTGTTTCGTCTTGATGTTGCAAA